CTCTGTGAAAATAAAAAAGGACACTAATGAGCTCATCTCTCTCACTCGGTTCTCTCCTGCTATCTGCATGCTCCTTGCACTGGAACACACCTGATTGGCTCCTTGTGCTGCTTCTCCCTCCACTCTCTGAGCTCTGCTGTACTGACAGTGGCCATATTAGGATGTATTGATGAATACAGAGCTACGCTGATTTGTGTCTTTTATATCCGCTTGCAGTGCATATCTGTATTCTATGAAATGAACATTTAACTGCTGTCACTCTTATTTTCTCATATATTGTTATTTATATCTCATGACATTTTACTTCAACTCCACCCTGGAACAGCTTCTTTTCCCTCCTTCCTCTATGAACAGCTAATGAATCTCCCAGTTATTACCAGTCTGAAGCTAGTGGTATTTTAAAGAAGAACTCCGGGTAACAATGATATTAACCCTTCCAGGGGGGCTCCCCCGCACTGCAAGAGTTAGGTGCTCAGTTTTGCCTTGGGTAAAATATAACAAAGTTATACTCGGCTGATCCTCCGAGCCAGCCAGCTGTGACAGCGCTTCCTTCTGACTGTCTCCTCCACCACCGCAGCAGTGGTATGTCACTTGGCATCCTCCCATCCTATACACGGTGTATAGAATGTGATGATTTATGGGACCTTAGACCGCTGCAGCAGAGGGGGAGAGAGGCTCCAGGGACCAGTCTAGGAGCTGGCCCGGAGGATTGGATGAGTATATGTAGGCAAAAAAAACAAGCACTTAACCCTTGCAGTGCTGGGGTAGCCTCACTGCAAGGGTTGATAACATTTTTACCCAGAGTTCTTCTTTAAGGCTTGAATCTGAATCATCTCCTACCACATGTGCATTTGTAGCATTAAGCTTGCTATACACTACCCTGTTTCCCCGAAAGTAAGACCTACCCCAAAAATAAGACCTAGTACTATTTTGGGGAATTGCTAAAATATAAGACCTACCCCAAAAATAAGACCTACTTGTGGCCATTCCCAGGGCCGGTGGTGGCATAAGGGGGAACTTGAAGAGCCGCGGGAGAGGCAGGAGAGAATCAGCGGTGCCAATGAAGCCGGCGCTAAAGGAAGCGAGGCGGCACCGGAGGGAGCAGAGCCGCATAAGCCGATGCCTGTTCTATAGCGCCGGCTCCTGTCACAGGCGGAGTGATACCAAATGCACTCCGCCTGTGAGGAATCGATAGTGAAAGTGCGCTTCGCTCATTCTGGCCAGAGATTGGTTAGCAAATTGCTCTTGGAAAGGTACGGCACCCCTGATTGCCCTGATCAACATATTATTGTACATGAATACATGTAGACTGTTGTACTTGAATAAGTGTGGCTTGTTGTACATTAAAAAAATTTAAAAAAATAAGACCTACCCCGAAAATAAGACCTAGTGTGTTTTTTTGAGCCAAAAAAAATATAAGACAGTGTCTTATTTTCGGGGAAACACGGTAGTATGACACCAATGACTTCATCAGGCTTAGCATGACACCAATGACTTCATCAGGCTCAGGTCATTCTGAGCTTGATGTAGGGGACCCTGTGCGGCCCCCGAAAGCGTGTGTACTGGAATGACAGTACTCCATTAATAAATGGACTTTTGTTGATTTCACTTAAATGGCGTGCTGGTGACATCCTTCTGCTAACCAGCGTTAGTAGAGATCTGCTGCTGGCTGTTATCTACAAGCAATGGCTATTATTGTCGTGATCTTTTACTAGA